TTGTCGGTTTACGAGTTGTGGTCGTAGGTCGACGGGTTGTGGTTGTTGTCGTAGATGTTGTTATTGGTTTACGGGTTGTTGTTGTTGGTTTTCGGGTCGTAGTTGTTGGAAATAATGGTGGTCGTTTACAATCGGTAATATATCGACAAGTAAGAATACGTTGATCCCATTGTGTAAACGGTGGACAGGTAATTACAAACGGTGTAAACCATGAACATTGATAAAATTGCCAACAATTTTCATGTTCATAATAACCAAATGGTTCTGGACATTTAAATTTTGCAGCATTAATACCATATGGTTGAAATGAAACAATTGCAACAAAAATGGATAAAATTATTATTACTTTCATCCTGTTTGTTTGTTTGTTTGTCACTTGTAATAAAACTGATTGATTATTTTAACTTATTCGTTGCAGATGATATTTTAATATTCAAAAAATTTGTAAGAATTAAAAAACACAATTCGATTGAATTATAAATTTTTTTTCACCGGTTATTTTTATATAAAATTTTTATACATCCATTTATAATTACTACCCGAATTATCATTATCATCGTCATCATTGTATTTTAAATCATCTCAGTTAATAAGGGTATGGATCTTATCGTCATTTTTGTTGTTTTGTTTTTTTTGCTCGCCTAAAACAATAGAGTGCAATTATTATTAGTTTTTTTTACATTAACAAAAGCAACATTATTTATTATTTTATGATGCTTATTTTTTTCCATTTTTAACTAATTATAATCCATTAATTAGAATATATGAAAAAAATGTTGTAAACAACATCCAATGATAATGAAATTTTGTTTGAAATCTACTGTCAACAACAACAACAACTAATCAACTGACCAAAGTCTTTTGTTTTTAGAAAGCGCGGTAAAAAGATGACATTTTCGAAAAAAATAATTTTCCAGTACACAAAAATGGTGTCATAAATTATCGAATCAACCAGGATGATGATCATAAATAGATCAACAACAGCAAAATTCTTACATTTCAGATCAGGACATACATTTCTTGGATAATCCATAATTTGATTACCATAAAATCATGTGAGGTATGTATGCGAGAGAGGTTAATAGACAAGTGTTCAAAAAAAAACGATATATGTCGGATATGTCATTCCGTTGCGATTCAATAATACAAATTTTTTATTACAATGAAATTGTACTTGTTTTTCTTATCATTGTTTTTATTGTATTAAGGATTAAATTGTGGAATTTTATTACGGTTAAATCTAATGTTATGATGTCATTATAATTGTGATCCATTGTAAAATGAAAAAAAACAATAATGAAAAAATCACTTTGATAATCGAAGTTTATTCACTTTCGGTAATGTACAACCACAACAACGTATTACTTGTTGAGCTGCATAAATACCGGCATCGATACAATCATTTATTGAACGTCCAA